CTTGATGCTGTTTTAGCTTTAGTGATCATGTGGGGAACCAGTGTTTCAATGTGATGTGGTTGTAAGCAAACACAAACTTATTAATGTGTGTCTGTTTGTGCAATATGGCTTTGAATTCATTTTACTTCATTGTTTGCAAATATTAACCTTAAATATGAAGATTTCAATTGTATTCTCTGCTTTTTTTTAATTTTCTGCTCTAGAATGATGGCTGTCTCCCAGCTCCAGAAGGATTAGAACCTTTGCTTGCCTGGCAACACGTGCAGATGTCAAATTTTGCACGACTCCGACAGGTAAGTTCCTCACCTTGTCTTCATGTTTAATTCTTATTCTAAAAGACCATTCTCCTTGTTGTTACCAGTCTGAGAGTGACTCTGACAATTGTGACTCCAAATTCATTCAGGAGAAATGGTAGACTAGAATTCTAGCATCCATTCACCCAAAATTCCAGGATGTATACAACAAAAATCTTGTAATAGCAACAACAATAGTCAGCATGCAAATAGTGTAAATAAAGTCTTGTTTACTTACTGTCAACATGCAGTTCTTGGTAATAACCAAGATGGTTGAAAGAAAGTGCTCAAAAGAAAACGAACTTTGGATAGTTTATTCACAATTTTGATTTGGATGTATAACTTATTGACAATTAGAAATATACAAAATAAAAGAAACAGATTATTTTAGTTGAATTGAAAAAAAACATGTTTAAATGTGTGTGTGTGTGTGTGTGTATATATATATATTCAGTTATGTGCCATGCGTGATACACACTTAGGCAATCATGTATCTTTTGATATATGACTGACGAAGCAGATTTTTTTTCCCACAGTAGGTTGCCACTTCTTTTTGCAGTAGACCAGTTGCCATCCAAGGCTATAGAACCTGATCTGTCCTGCTATTTACCCCTAGCTGGAGGGAGAAGAAGAGGATTCATACCTTTCCTGAGGGTATTAGTGAATGTAATGGATTTGACTGGAATTCAGACTTGGCTCTCTGATTCCTCAATCTGAGCTGCTATCCATTACTCCACCGTGCCTCCTAATAAATATATATATATATATATATATATATATATATATATATATATATATAATTAATACAAGTAAAAGGTTTGTGACTTAGTTGATTGATGTTACCATCAGCATCCTGACTCCAGAGTTTTGTAGACGGACCCATCCATTCACTCGTCACCTTTTGTTTTTTTTTTTTCATTGTGAATAAAAAAGAATTGATAGATTTTTATTCATTAATCCAACAGATTTTATACTTCAACGTTATTTTTAGTGGATCACCATATGTGAGTAGACGCTCCATTTATTTATTAAACAGTATAATTATTTTTGTCTACTGGCCTGAATATTCGAGAAATCTTATTAAAGAAAAACATGCTCTCTGGTAGGACTCAAGCCGGTGTCCCTCTTAGCAGAAGATATTCTCAGGAGATTCAATGTGCTTTAGTCTGTCTTGAACATGAAGTGTGTCATTGATCAACCAAGTCTCTGGGTTACAGAGCTGGACTTGTATCTGTAAAATCATTATTATCTCCATAAAGTTATTAGTATTCACTTACTAAAAATCAAAATGTTTCTCACAATCCAAAAATGTGTTTTGGTTTAAATAACCTACAAAAAGGTTGATAAAGGCTTACAGCTATGTCACATTGAAACACCAGTTCCTGTATGATCACCAAAGTTAAGCAACATTGAGCTTGGCCTGTATCTAGATGGGTGACTGTTTGGGAATACTAGTTGCTGAAAACTTGGATATGCAGGTGGTGTAATCAATAATGGCTGGGAATTGTTAATTGGATAGCAGAGTTCTAATTCCCATTGGATTTGTTATATTCACTTACGTGCAAATACCCATGAGAAAGGTATAAATCCACCTCTTCACCTCCAACTATGGGTTAATTTGTAAAACTTGTATAATTAAAACCATTATTATCTTCAAAAATAAAATTGTGTACAAAATATTTAGATTTTGGCATTAAATAACCCATAGAGATTGACATACTACTAAACAAAATCAACCACCCAACATATAACTTATATTATTGAAGTTAAGCAACGTCAAACCTGGTTAGTACCTAGATGGGTGACTGCTTGGGAATACCAGGAAGTGTAAACTTGGATATGCGGGTGGTGTAATGGATAATGGCTGGGAACTGTTAATTGGAGTTCCAATTCCTGTTGTGTTTGTTATATTCATTTACATGCAAATACCCCTGGGTAATCCACCTCTTCTCCTCCAGTTATGTGTTAATTAGTAAAATTTGTTTCACTAAGCTATTATTATCTTCCCCCACAAAAAAAAAAAATTCTTGCAATTTAAAAACAATTTCTGGCTTTAAAAGGGTTGATAAGCCATAGAAAATAAATCAGTCAAATCGTTAAAAGGTTGATAAGCTGTAAAAAAACAAATCAATCAATCAGGAAACCAGCGACAAGGTGGGGGGTCAGCGACACTTGGTTGAGGATCAGTTGCAGTAAGTAGCCAGACTAAAACAGTTAATCCTAGACTTGAACTGGTTAAGATTGTAGTGATTGGGGAAGCATCCTCTTGGGAGTCGGTTCTACAAAGCAGTGTGAAGTAGCTGCTTGAGTTTGAAGTTTTCTCACCATTGGAATATGAAGGTAATGAAGGTGGTTTGGTATAATGTGTGTAACATGTCGGGTCTTAGCCGTGAAGGTTAAGACTGGTGGAACTAAGGAATATATTTCGTCTGAACACTTTTGCATGGATAAAGCAGTGAGAGGCTTGCAACATTTCATCTGTGGGAAAGGGGTTGTAGGGTGGGAAATATTTTGTCCCTTTCTTTAAAAAAAAAACAAGTCTGTCGTTACATTCATCATGGGCATATTGTCTACCTTGTTTTAATCATTTTTTTTTTAATATTTTTTTTTCCTCAGGGATTCATTGAATACAAAATAGCACACCAAAAAGAAATAAAGGAAGAAAAAGCTAAATTGGTAAGTAAACATATGACCTCATATTTCTATTGCTTTTTTTTTTTTAATTATCTTATCTGAATTCTTGCTGAAAGAAAAGGATTTTACCTATTACTTAGTATCATTGAGTGCAGTATTACTCAACTTTTTCTTATCCCTTGGTATGTTGATAAACTACATCTGGCAGCAAGGCCTCTGAATGAGAGATTGGAGGTTTTGAGGAGTGTTGAACCACCTCTTAATTGCTGTTGTTCCTCAGTCCACCATAATTTGGGGTGGTAGCACCTGTTAGGGCCCCAGATATGGATAAATAATGAACTCCCAAACAAAAATCAGAACACTAGGAAAGTATAACAATACATTTTTGTATAAAAAAATTACCAGCTATACATTTTTGTAGTAAAATTATCAGCAATACATTTTTGTAGTAAAATTATTAGCAATACATTTTTGTAGTAAAATGACCAAGAATGCATTTTTATAGCAAAATGATAATCAATACAACACTAATGTATAAAGATACATTTTTATAGTAAAGATACCAGCAATACATTTTTATAAAAAAAAAAATAAAATTACCAACAATACATTTTCTACAAACTTTATATCTAAAAAACTTACATTTACCCTGAAAGTATATAAATATGTACAAAATAACTGTAGTTGAAGTCATACAATTGCATTCAAAATATTTAGATTTTGGCCACTAATTAACCAATGGAGGTTGATATGTCACTAAACAAAATCAACCAAACCATATGAACACAAATAGAAATTCCATGTAACAGGAAAGAGATTTTATTTACAAAAGCAAAATGTAGTAGAAAATATAATTCCTGACTAATGATTACACTGCTCTGGGTGTCTATCAGCTTGTCAAGTTGAACTTCCGAGCCTTGGTTTGGCTTCAGGAATAGGTCTACTCTCTTTTCAATCTACTCTTTCAGACCCACTTGTGGGCTTAAGGGCCCATGTTGAGAGTCACTTGACACAAAGTTTCAGTGTGAATTTCTGAGAAGAGGAGTTATTATTATTTACATTCAAACTAGTGTCCTTATCTTTGTTGTTGTTATCGCAACATTTTGGCCAGTGTGCCCTGTGGCATTCTACAGATGTCTGTTGATTCTGGCAATATGCAGGAAATTTCAAATAGGACCCTTTATTAAATCTATGGAGGTAGATTGTTCTCATTCCACTCTCCATGCTTACAGATATCTGTCATTACTTCTCAGTTATTGCTTGTCCTGTTTCCATGGAGTCGAAGTATTACCCAACCCAATAGTTCAGTGGATTAAGGCACTGGTTTATGAATTTGGTGAGATAGTAATTGTGAGTTCAATCCCTGGTTGAGGTAGTAGAGACTCAGTAGCAAAGGATGTTCGTGTGTGTAGTTTCTCTGGTTTAGTGGCTTGGTATATTACATTGTTTTGCAGCCACTGTAAAATCAGCAGATAATGAAGAAAAAATATACATAGGAGTAACTGAAGGACCCTGGAAACAGAGAAATTTCTTGCACAAAATATCATTTACAAATAGTAAATATGCAAATGGCACAATGATTTCTAAACCTATATGGGGAATTAAAAACAAAAAGTAATCACACCAAAAATATCATGGAAAATAAGAAAAACAGCATCAGCCTCCAACAATAAATCAAAAAATTGTGAAGTCTGTCTGAAGAAGAAATATAATTATCTTCCCAGATCAACACAAATTACTAAAATGATCAGAACTCTTCTCAAAATGCAGACATGAAAACAAATTTTTACTATGTTACTTAAAAATTGAAAACTAAAAACAAATATGAAAAAAGTAATCAAAAAATCTAAATCAGTAACTAAATAAATCAATTAAGTAACTAATAAACAAATTAACAAACAATGAATGCACAAGTAAATGTGATAATAATAATCAACAACAAATAATAAAGTAGTCAATAATAAATAATGAGTAAAAAGTTAACAACACTATAGAGTAGCTAAAAATAACCACATTTCTACTTAATAGCCTCTCGAATAATTTGAAATGTAACCATTACCACCCACTCTATAACTGTCAGGGTAATACAATAGACCTGCTACCAATAATGTACCATTGAACAACATATATAAATAGTCAAGCCAAAACACAACACACATGGCCTGAAGATAAAATATAGTTTTAAGTTATGCTATATTTATGGGTTACAATGCTCAATATCAGGGATAGAGGGTATCTAAAAATAAAAGTGGACACTGAAGTCAACACCAAGAGGTGACAGCCAGTTTTATGCTAAACACAATCATCAGGCCATACACACACACACACACACACACACATATATATATAAATACATACATGCACCTATTTGCATACAACAGTGCTATTGGGTTAATTTTTCTTCATCTTCCCCAATTAGTATGTGCTGCATTTGGCTGGTCACATGATTTTTAATAGCCATTCAGTGATGTCCTAGTTTGCACAGGGGACAGTTTTGTAGTAGATACCACAAAGATAATTCACTGATATGTAGGAAAAGCACTATCTCTTGGAATATGACATGTTGGATTTGTCTGTAAGGACAAACTTTAGTAATACTCGCTTTTCTTTTCAGGATCAGAGAGAAGGCATGCAACACATTTGTACCCTTTGTTAGCCATGTTCTCTTTTAAAAAAAAAAAACAGAAAATCTTCAAATATGTTCTTCCAACATCTCCTTAGCCATCTTAATTTTTTTTTATTTTCAATGTTTGGGTAAATATGTGTACTTATGACAGGTACTATTAAAGTGACCAACAGATATTTGTTTACCCTGTAGCTGGAGCCTAGAATACACTGACAGCATCTCAGCAGATGGGATAAGACCCCCACCAAAAAGCGCCACATACAAAATAAATGCTTATATACTCAAATATAAAAAAATAGAATGGATTTCAACATTAAATAATCCAACAGAAGTTAAAATATCTTAAATCAACCAGTCAAATCATCAATGTAGACATATTGACTCAACCTACTTAATAGCATAAGCAGCTTCTATTGTATAAAAAGCCCATATATATATATATATATATATATATATATATATATATATATATATATATATATATATATATATCATTCAGACAGTACTGTTTCACTGTATCACAGCTCCTCAGTGTGACTAGACGTCTGAAAGCCTCAAGCCAGGATTGAAACCCTACTGATTTGGTGTGAATTAGAGTTTCTACCACTAAGCCATCAGCACTCGGCAGAGAGAACTTCTAATTCTAGCATATTGTTTTTACAAATGTAAACAAACACCAGTCAGCCAAAGTGATTGTATTCATTTTACCAAAGAGCTTTGCATTTTAGCATGAGTGGCTGCAGGCTGTCTCTCAAGAGTGCTCAATTGAAATATATTTTCAAGAGCTTAATTATGTCATTCACAGACAGTACTGTTTTGCTGTATTACAGCTCCTCATTATGACTAGACGTCTGAAAGCCTCAAGTCAGGATCGAAATCTGACCGATTATATATATATATATATATATATATACTGGACTCTCCTGTTGTTTTCAATATATGAGAATCAAGCACCTCAGTTCTTAGAACGAACTGCCACATATTTGATTATAGTGGTGAAGGCTTTGTGCAGAACCAACCACACTTTTTGGAAGAGCCATATACAGAGAACTGGTGCACAGTATGCCACAAGGTCCCCAAATGATCCTCTGCAGGTTCTGAATTTAGAATTGTTCTTCTACAATGTTTGCCACCTAAGGCTATAGGAATTGGAATTCGAACTTGGATCTCCAATTATTCCAAATACGTTAACATTCACAGTTTAGACAGATATTAGTTGAAAATACATCAATGCTTCATCAAGATAATAATAAGCAAAAATTTAAAATTCTGGAAGTCCTTTATATAAGAGAATTACAGCCAAAAATAAATAAAGTCAACCACGAGTATAGCAACAAAGTTCTTGAATGTTTGTAGCAGGAAAGTGTTATATAAAAAATACTAAATTAAGATACTACAATTAAAAACCTTTTAAAAAATTAAAAAAATATTTTAAAAAATCACATAAGTTACCTCCCTTGATACTAATGAAAAATATTTTGAATTTACCGTGTTAACACGTAACACATTCATAGATATGCAACCATTGAAGATGGTCTCAGATGAGATTGAAATATTTGGGAAAATAAAAATTATTTGAAAGAAAATTTTAGAATTTTTCTTAATCAATTTTCTACAGCCACCAAGAAATATGTTGACTTGAAAGGATTAAAACTAAAATAAATAGACATATGTCTAAATTATTTAACCAAACATATATATGTTTAGTTAAATAATTCAGATGTATTATATATGTGTGTGTGTGTTTGTGTGTGGCAAAAGTAACACTCATTTATTGTCTCATCATGATCACCAGACCTAACACCACTAGATTATTCTTCTGAGCTGTACTGAAAGATCTTGTTTAGAGTTACAAACCAAAAATAATTCCTGAATTAAAACAAGCAATTTCCAATAAATTTTCTGAAATTAATGTAGAAATGTGTCCAATATTTTGTAGAAATGTTGCTGATAGGTTTGAGTGTTGCATTGAACCTGAAGGGGAGCATTTGGAACATGTTAAATAGTTTGTTAATCATAACGAATCATATTGTTTTGATGTGGTAATACTTATAAATTTTCTTAAATTACTGTAATTTATTTTTGTTCAGTAAAAAGTTAATAAATAAAAAGAGCATTACTTTTTACATACACACTATATATATATATATATATATATATATATATATATATATATATAAATACTTAGAGGCGACAGTCTTTTTTCATGTTAGATGCACTCATGGCCTGATGATTGCATCTAGCATGAAACAGACTGTCGCCTCTAAGTGTTGACTTCTATGTTCACTTTTATATTTACACGTGCTCTATCTCTTATATTGAGCACTTTATCCCATAAATATAGCACATCTTAAGACTATATTTCTTCATATATATATATATATATATATATATATATATTCATCCACAGACAAACTTTTGCTGTATCACAGCTCCTCAGTGTGGCTAGATGTCTGATCGCTTCTGGCCATGATAGAAACCCTACTGATATGACATCAGTCAGATCTCTTACCGCTAGAGCATTGTCACACAACAGGGAATGAAGGCAATTTTAACGTTTTTGTCTTTATGAATTATACCAGTGGCTTATAGAACTCAATTCATTTTTACTTGAAGAGTAATATAGATGTGACAGTATTGGGAAATTTTCAGCACTTCCTTGTCAACACTCATATAGTGAAAGCAAAATCTAAATACCAAATTCTAAAAAAAAAATAATCTTTTGGGTAGTAACTAGTAAAAAAAAAAAAAAACTGTAGCAACAATGTAGACCCATTAGTAATGGATTTTTTTTTTCATTCTGTTGAAATCTACAGTTAATCCATAAAGACAGTCCAAATAGATTTTTTATTACTCCTCAAATATTTTCAGCCACAAAGCAAAGATGTCAACCGTTGGTCTCGACTCTGCTTTGGTAGTCTTTCAAGCCTGAAGGCCAACACAGATGATTTACAGAATGAACATGATACCGGTACCCCACCTCTGTTGAGCATCGTAGCAGCAATGGATCAGGTTAGAAACAGAATTTTCTTTTATCTTTTCCAATTTTTCAAAGTTTTTCAGTGGGAAAATTGGGGAATTGCATAACACTTAAGTGTTTTAGGGATTTGGAAACCTTTTTATGTTTAATTTTGGCTCTGAACACTTTGTTTTTTTATTTAATCATTTCACACTATGCAAGGCACTAAAGCCACTAAGATGGAAGGGGTTGCTGAGTATTAGAGAATATGAGAAAAATACTATTAAAGAGAGAGAAATAACAAGAATTAAGAAGACAGAAGATAATGATTGACATTGCATGTAAATTTTTGAAGATCAAAGTTGACTGAGAAGGAAGAAGTCAGAAGAGAGTTCCACAAGTGAGTAGTGCAGTAGAAGAAACTGTTAACATAAAAATTACAGTTACATCTGGCTATAACAATTGTAAAATGAGGAGACCTTACTGCCAATCTAGTACTGTACTTAAATTCATAAAGTCTAGATACCATCAAGGAAAGAACAGAACAATTACCATAAAAGTATTTATAGAAAATGTAACATGTTAAAGGATTTCTGGCATTATCATTATTTACATTCAGACTAACGTCCTCATCTTTGGTATTGTTATTATCACAACATTTCGACCATTGGGCCTCTGATCTTGCAAGAGAAGCTTGGTAACCATTACACCATGTTGAAGTGCTAAAATGATTTTCTAAACAAAGCTTAGATGTGGCACAATGCTAAAAGTGTTGAGCATCCAGTGAGTATTGAACTCACTACTCAGTCATAATTGGTCTAGCAATAGAAGCTTGCTAAACATTACACCATGTTGAAGTGCCCAATGATTTTCTAAGCAAAGTATAGATGCCGCACAAAGCCAAGTGTATGGGGCATCCAGTGAAGTTCAAACTTGCTACTCAGTTGTAATTGATCTAATGAGATAAACTTGTTAATCATTACACCACATTGAAGTTCCCCAATATTTGATGCCATGAGTAAACTAATATTATTATAAGATTCTACTGGACATAAAGTTGGGGATTGTTTTCTGTTAGTAAATAATAAACAGATCACACTAAATTACTACATATTAATATAATTGGAACAACTATATTTACAGATTAATGTGTGATACCCTTTTCTCATAGTAAAGAGTTAGCAAGGAGATCTATCACTTGGCTCAAGGGAGATTATTCTTGTACAGTAAAAAGTTACAGACTAAAAAAAGAAAAAATTGTCATAATATATTGTAAGTTAATTACTACCCTCATTCCCTCTGTATTCTGTGGTGATAAGTAAGTTCCACTTGAGCAGCTTCTTCCGGTAAACTACTGCTCGCGTCAACCGGCTCCTAAAAGGATATTTTCCTGATGACTACAATCTTAACCTGTTAATATCTTGAGTTAACTGTTATCTTCCCCACCCTCCTCATAAACTGTACCTCTTATTCTAGCTTTAGTCGCTCTTGGGCCTTATACAGGGTGAGCAACACTGTTTTTTTGTTATTTTTTATTTTTGGAAAACTTCAAAGCAAATCTCGTCTTTTAATGTTAAATTCTTTTTTTTCTTGAAGCCTTGTGTGGAACAAGTCCTAGAATATCACGTGGAATGGTTCAGGAGCACTAAGCTCAGTCACAGACAGGTAATGTATTCATTGATTCAATCTCACACCTTTTACAAGCAGCTTTAATTGCCTTAGCAATTTTAGACAGAAATTCACTGTGAGTTTTCAAAATGATATGTTGGACTCATGACCTTTGGAAATTGTCATGATCCATGTAAAATCTTTTTTTTTTTTTTTTTAATTATTTCACTCCAAGCAAGGTAATAAATCCACTAAGATGCAAGGGATTACTGTGAAAGAACACGAAAAAGAAAAACATTAAGGAGCAAGAACAATAAAAGAGGAATGAAGAAGACGGAAAGATAGCAACTGACATTGCATTAGAATATGAGAAAAATATACTATTAAGGAGAGAAGACAATAAAAGAATAAGAATTAAGAGGACAAAACATAACAAATGACATTGCATTTAAATTTTTGAAGATCAAAGTTGGCTGGAAAGTAAGAAACCAGAAGAGAGTTCCACAGGCAAAATGTGTGAGAAAAGAAACTGTTAGCAAAGAATTTAGGTTTACATCTAGCCAATTCAACTGTAAATCAATGAGACCTTACTGCCAATCTAGTACTGCACTTAAATTCATAAAGTCTAGATACCATAGAGGAAAGTTCATCAGAACAATTACCATGAAAATATTTATAGAAAATGTAGTATGTTAAAGGATTTCTGGCATTATCATTATTTACATTCAGACTAACGTCCTCATCTTTGGTATTGTTATTATCACAACATTTTGACCATTGTGCCTCTGATCTAGCAAGAGAAGCTTGGTAACCATTACATCATGTTGAAGTGCTAAAATGATTTTCTAAGCAAAGCTTAGATGTGGCACAAGGCTAAAAGTGTTGAGCACCCAGTGAGGATTAAACTCTCTACTCAGTCATAATTGGTCTAGCTAGAGAAGCTTGTAACCATTACACCATGTCGAAGTGCCCAATGATTTTCTAAGCAAAGTGTAGATGCAGCACAAGGTCAAGTGTATAGGGCATCCAGTGATAAAAAAGAATACAGAACGGAGTTCTAGAGTCGAGAAAAGAAACTCTTATCACTGAACTTAAGATTTACATCTAGCCAATTCAACTGTAAAACAATGAAACCTTGTTGCCAATCTAGTACTGGGCTTAAATTCATAAAGACTAGGTATTAAAGAGGAAAGCTCATCAGATAGTTCAGTTCTGAAGCCTTGTGCAAAATCTTACCTTAGTTAAAAATATCATCATCTGTCCCACAACTGGGTGTGATCATAGGGTCATTGTACAGCTGAGCACATGACCAGCTCCCTCAATTTGTTTTGGTGACATGTCAATGGCTGGGTATCTGTGAATGATTTTCCAGTCTACCCAGTGACATTGTCAGCCTATTTTTTTCTCTTTCTTCCTCTTCTTTTGTTTCAGTTGCTCACCTTGTAGGATGGTTGTTGGTGGAAAAATATTGTTGGTTCTTTTGAGATACCATTTCAAGTTCCTCTTCTTGACAGTGGAGTGCGAGGTCTTCCAACAAGCCTGATTCGATGCCTGAAGACATCTTGCACTGCACCATTTGTGAAGCATTCTACCTACATAGAATAGATACATAGAATGGTTCTGTAGAATCCCATTTCTGGTGCTTGGACTTTTTTCTGAAGTTCTGCTGTTAATGTACAAGACTTGCAGCCTTTCAGAAAGAGTCAGAAAGCCAATGGATGCTACCATCTGATCTTTGATTTCAGGCAGAAGTTTTCGTCTTTCAGATGAAACGGACACATAGCTTATGAAATTCTTTAATTTTTTTTTTCCCCTGTTCAATGTTTTTAGTTTTCTCTTCTATGAACCATGTCCCTTCAGGACGTGGGTGATCATGGTTCTCCACAATTTTCTGTCCTTTGTAGCTCTTAGCAATGTTTGTCTTCTTGCTATTTCTCCTAATTCCTGTTCTGCCAACTACTTACACAAGTTCATTAGGGAGGATATGTGATACTTTCCACTGTTTCTCTTGCCTTCAATATGGCGTGTGAATATCACAATTTCAAAGCCTTCTTTCCTCATTATGTGTTCTAGAAATTTCAGTTGTCTCTTTCTGAAATTAAGTATAAATGTCATTTTTATTTCCAATTTCCTTAACCTTTATTTAGGTGGAGGCAAAAATTTTTGCTGTAGAATTCTCTCCCTTTTCAGCGGTAGGTGCATTCTGTTGCTTTGAGAGATTTGCTATAAATAAACAGCTGTCAATTGTTATTTCTGGTATTTTTAGCTGGAAATAGCCTGTTACTGCTTTGGAATGAGGTTAAACTTCGAATTCTTTTGAATTCTTCAACACTCTAACATTGATTGACCCTATGTTAATTTTGTCGTGATTTTTTTGTAAACAAAAATGACTGCATCAACATTAAATGAAACCTTTATTCAGGAGTTTCTCTTTCATTTGAACTTCGATGATGATTTTGAAGGCTTTACTCAAGCGGATATTCATGGTGAAGTGGTCGCAGATGGGTATGATAACCATGCTAGTGATGGGGAGGAAAGCTGTGATGACTTGGAGTGGCTATTGGCTGACTAATTTTATGGAAGCTATTGGCCCCATGGATGTACCTGATAGTCTATTTATAAATGATGAAATAATAACTTCATTTGTCAACAAGACAAATAAATGTACTATACAAGATGAAGGAAAGAGGAAACAGATGTTCGTATCTACTTGTATGTAAACGTGGAAGGACATCACTTTTCACAAAATGAAAGCCTAATCCATTTTCCTGCTTATTGCACCGCAGAACTCCACAAGGAGTAATAAAAGTTAAAGTATGTTAAATTGTTAATGTATTTTTGTTTTCAATGTCAAAACATGCATGCAAAATGTAATGCATTACATCAAAATATTACTCATCCATTCTTTTATTTGTATGCAAGAAATAAAATCTATACACACAATAGAAAGAATGTTATAACAATTTTAAAACAATAGATGCTCATGTTTTTTGCATCCTCGAAAAAAAAAAAAATAAAGTGATAGGGGGAACAATTCTAGAAAGAATTTGATGGGGTAAAGGTTAGAACTTCATCATTACTCACATGTTCAGTTCATGGTATTCTTAGCATGAAACTGAAACCCACATTTCTTTATATAAGGAACTGCAGGAAATGATGAAATTTATTGTTTTGTTAAGGCCACATGCTGAGGGCATAAATATTGAGATGTGACATCAAGTTATCAAGATGACTATTGTTAAAATCTATTTTTAATTTTATCCCACTTCACTTGAGCCCCCACTTTGCCCCTTGACAACTATTGCTTCATTAAAGCCTCTTAAAAAGCCTAGTGTCACACTTGTACAGTAATGTTTAATTTCTATATCCTTTCAATTTATTTTTTTATTTTATTTCAAATATCCATCAAATTAATTGTTCATATTTCTTTTGCTAGGGACAGTGGTTTTATGCCTTGTTGGCCAGTTTACAAAAACCCTTAACACCTGAAGCATGTTCTTCTATTCGAACATTGGCACGACGCTGCTCTTACCTTCGAGGATTATTAGTAAGTAAAAAAAATGTATAAATTTATTATTTTTACCTATATTTATTCTTCTACACACTGCAGGCAACTCTCTGCTAAATGATAATGTTTGAATTTCATTGTTGTGTTGTCATTTCCTTCTATAGCAACAACAATAATGACTGAAAGTGACAGGTGGGCTACTGTTAAAGGGGTCTTGAAAAAATGCAATAAAGGGGAAAGTAATACTGGTGAATAATGCAGAGTACTAAAGTTAATATTGTAACTGATTTTATTTATTTATTTTCTAGGTTTCAAATTAATTTTGTCTATAGCTGGGCCTCTAACTTAACTAAGCACTAGTTAATATATAACACAAACACTAAGTGTATACATAGAGTGCAACCCTTGCACAAGTTTTCCACCATCTGGGTGATGGTTACCCCACGTATCATTCTGATTTTTTATCCTGTCAGTGTGCAACAGAAACTGGAGAAGGGTTTGCTGCATTCTTTCAAGATAACATGAAAGACCAATGCCACTTTGAGAAATATGAATGTGAACTTGGTTTTCCCATATTACATGTAGATGTTTTATTCAAAGCTTTGCCTGCTTGGCCCTTAGGTAGGTAGGTGAGACTGGGAACTTCTGTTATGTCAACTCTTCTGTTCAACTCGCTCCTTGCCATCTACTCATCTGGCTTGGCAATATGAATGAAGGTTTCACAAACGCGAGGGGGATGCATCCATCATCTGCCAAGAGTTGACAAGAACTCTCTCTGATTCCAAGCAAAACTGTTAATATAGATCAGCATCATTATTTTCTTTTCTGTTTCTTTTCTCTGGGTGCATAAAATTTTATTTTTGTAGTAAAAATGAACATTAAGAACATTGTGATAGGGAAATGAAGAACAGGAGAAAAAGAAAGTCACAATTGCCATCAAGAGGTAAACCGGGAAAAGAAGTGTGTGTATATATATATATATATATATCTATATCTATATATATATATATATATATATATATATATTTGAAGAGAAGCTGCAAACGTTTTTGATTACAATGTGGATTTTTTTAATATATATTATGCTTTATTTTTCATATTTTTTGCTACACATGTTTTAGGTCTTGTGATCTTTATCAGATGAAGAATGGTTATTGACACATTATTTAAAGGAATTACTTTTTTCTTATATCATGTTTCACCATTGTCTTTTGTGTGTGGTAGTAATCCAAATTCTTCTTTGATTGGTGGAAAATCTTCCTTTGCTTACAATTAGGATTGGTCAGGGAAAGAGGAAGGAATAAGGTCTTTGATCTTTTTATGCCTTCTGTATCATTTTAAGCTTTTCCCCATTTTTGTGTATTTGTGTGTGTGGTTTTGCTAGTATGTTTGTGTGTATATATATGTGTGTATATATATATATATATATATATATATATATATATATATATAAATATATGCACACACACTCACTCTTTTGTATGGGTGTAGGGTTTGTGCATGTGTGTTGTCCATTTAGTGTGTTTGTTTTTGCCAGCATGGAAAATAAAGTATATATATTTAAAAAATCCACATTATAACCAAAAACGTGGCTTCTCTTTTCACTTTAAAATATACACTTTTCTCTTATTGGAACAACTATTATCTCTCCCTTTATGTATATATATATATATATATATATATATATATGCACACTGTGTATTTAGGCAGCAAATATTCCTTAAGCCAAATGTTTTTAAAGACAGTAAACATTTTGTGTCAATTAATTTTATTGATGGATATTTCAAAATTATGAATAATCCTTTTCGGATAAGGAGGAAGTTCCATCATAAATTGTCCAAAGTTCATTTCAGAAAAAATATAATCCAAGCTTTCAACTTTTTACCTACCCTAATGATGATGGCTTAAGAAAGTCAAAAGCTTTGATCATATTTCTTCCAAAATTAACTTTGGATAATTTCTGATGGAATTTCCTCCTTATCAGAGAAGGATTATTTGTAATTTAGTAATGTCTATCAATAAAATGAACGCAAAATGTCTATTGTCTTTAATATATATATATATATATATATATAATAATAGGAATAATAATAATAATAATAAAAAAACGAAAGAATATTAATCTACAACCCAGTGTGTCTAATGATTTTAATTTTTAATTTTCTTATTGTTCAAAATATAATCATGAATAATGGACACGGGACTGAACCAAATGCCGAGGACATAACACCAACAGAACCAATAAACACAGAATTATTGGCTATCCGCATGAATAGAGCAACCAACAAATTAGCCAGGTATGAATCACACCGGGAATATATTGGGATATGCCTGAAGGATCGATTAGTACCAACTAATTTCAGGATTGATTTAGAACCTTCTATCGGTAACCACAATGACGCGTTTCTAGCATCATGGTACCGTAAATTAGAAGACTTCTCCAGGGAGCTCATGCAGGATACCATGCAGTTCTGCCAAGAAAACATAACAACAACAAAAAGCAGAAATTAACCTGCTCGATGAGAAAAAAAAAAACAAACGGACAAGGAAGAATATACCAACATCAAGAATGTCATAAAAAGCTCACACAGACCAAACAGTGAGGGAACTACAAAAAACAAAAACTGAAAAACAAAGGAAATTAAGATGGAATATTTCCTCCAGACAGAGGAACAAAAAAGAAATGAAGCCAAACTCTGAAAAAAGTGAACGACCATATCCAAAAAGAAAACAACAAAACACCGCCACCACACAACCAATGCAAACACAAAACAGACCAAATAAGTACACCTACAGACAAACAGCAGCACCACAACCAACAATAACAACACCGCCACCATCAACAATAGCTAGAACCTCAATAAAAACACACACACAAAACAAACCACTAACTTACGCGGACATCCTTAGGGTGCCGTATAAACATACACAAACCAAAACACAGCAGCCCTTCTACAGAACGTGATAACTCCATTAGACATCCCAGACCACCTAGATTAGCCCCTAGTAGACAGTCAACAACAGACACACCCAACTTTAAAAAAAAAAAAAATAAGCCCCACCCAGGACACCTGGGTGGGGGTATAGCATCCCTAATAGGAGATATGATGCAAGCTTTGAGCTTTTACAAAAGAACTTCCATGCTTGCAAATTCAAACTTGACCCATACGGGCGAAGTTATAAATTTGAGTAACAATAAATTTTCACTCAATACATTCAGGGTATTAAATAAAGGACTAAGCTTTTGTCCTAGTCCCCAAGGTTTGATAAAGACACCTTGGCTAAGGACCTGAAATCCTTCTTTAGAAGGATACGGTTAAAAGCCCACTATGGGGAAAATGATCATACACCTTCTATACTTGAGACATTAAAAGAGAAGGATACTACCTACACCCCACAAAACACAGACATTACTATACAGACATTTGAACTAGCCATAACAAATGACATAAAGAAAACAATAGTACGTAAGCTGTCACGTGACAATATGACTGAAGGAGAACGATAGCCCTCGATACACTGACACATAGGGATGACGTAATCATAACACAGGCTGACAAAGGGGTGCGACAGTGATCTGGGGAATCAAGAATACGTTAAAGAAGCCAACAAACAGCTAGCCGACAAAGAAACCTACAAAAGCATACCTACAGATCCCCTTCCAGAATACCAAAAAGAATTAACTAGCTCACTAAACTTAATGCTTCGAACAATCTAATCGACAAGGAAACATGCACAACACTTACACCCACAAACATTACACCTGCCCGCTTCTATCTCCTTCCTAACATACACAAAAGCAACAATCCAGGAAGGCCGGTTATTTCATCGCTCAACTGCCACACGACAAAAATTTCCAAATACATAGACCA